CTCACGGTGTTGGCTCTCGGCGGATAGACCGATGCTGCTTCCCAATACGGGTCGCAAAATCGGTTCTGAAGCAAAACAATGGCCAAAAACATGCCAGAGCCGTCCCGTGGAAGTGGGAAGCTGAGTCTGCTCTGCAATGCTACCGATATGGATTCCGACTCGGGGCATGGCTCCTGGCGGAGAATGCGACTTCCCAATCCGGGTCGCGCGCGCATCATCCCGCGTTGTTAAAGGTTGCTGCGAAATCCGGCTAGTGGCAAAAAATACGCAGCATCAATACGCCCGCCCAATTACCCTCCGCGAGGAGGTATGGGAGCAAGGCCTCCGCTACTTCAACTCTATCCGGCCGTGCCAGGCGAGCTTTCGCTGCTCGAAGAAGGACGGCCGGCAGAACTCCATCGCAATGGTGGTCACGGAGGACCGCCCGCTGCACTAGCGCGGTCAAGGTCCCAACGTCTCTCGCCGGATCAGCCTTAGCAGCCAACAGTAAATGCGTGACAGCATAGTCCACCATAGAGACGGCCGTGAAAAGTGGCGTGCGCGACGGCGCCTGCCCCGTTCTGCTCGCTTGATTCGGGCAGGCTGCAGCCGTGAGGAGGAGCTGAACCGCCACCACGGAGGATTGAAGGACCGCGTAGACCAGGGGGCTGATCATCTCCCTATCCCGGACGCAGGGCGCGGCACGGGCGCACAGGAGTAGATAGAGGGCGAAGGCATCATTGCAGATTGCCCAGTAGATCGGCAGTGGAGGCTCTCCCCAGGTGGAGGCGCGAGCATGCAGGACGTCCGGGAAGTCGTGCATAAGGCCAAAGGCAACATCGTGCTTGCCTTCCAAGAGATAGCATTTTAGTTCACCGCTCCTAGCCACCCCGGCGTCTGCCGCCTCCCCCTCCGGAAGGACATGCTGCCGGAGCAAGTCGATGCCATCCCCACGCTGGAGGAGTTGTAAGCCAAAGGTCGGCAATCGAAGATACTCATAAGTTCATAAGCCTGCAAAGCCGGGGACTCTCCAATGGTGAGATACCCAATAACTTCTCAGGGCCGTGAGGAGCGTTTAGAGTTTTCCGGAGTGGCGTCGCTTAATGAGCGCGCGCGGCCTCCGCCGGCGCAGCCTGAGAGGGCCGTTAGGAGCGTTTATAGAGTCTTCCGGAGTGGCGTCGCCCAACGAGCGCGCGCGGCCTCCGCCGGAGCAGCCCGAGAGGGCCGTTAGGAGCCTTTAGAGTCTTCCGGAGTGACGTCGCCCAACGAGCGCGCGCGGCCTCCGCCGGAGCAGCCCGAGAGGGCCGTTAGGAGCCTTTATTAGAGTCTTCCGGAGTGGCGTCGCCCAACGAGCGCGCGCGGCAGCCCGAGAGAGCCGGTAGAAGCGTTTAGAGTCTTCCGGAGTGGCGTCGCCCAACGAGCGCGCGCGGCCTCCGCCGGAGCAGCCCGAGAGGGTCGTTAGGAGCGTTTAAAGCCTTCCGGAGGCGTCGCCCAAGGAGCGCGCGCGTTCGTTTAGAGTCTTCGGGAGAGCCTCCGCCGGAGCAGCCCGAGAGGTCGCCCAAGGAGCGCGCGCGGTCGTTTAGAGTCTTCGGGAGGGCCTCCGCCGGAGCAGGCCGAGCGTCTGTGTCTGTCTGTGTGCCATGTGTCTGTGTGTGTGTCTGTGTGTGTGTGTGTGCATGTGTGTGTGTGTGTGTGTGCAGGGAGGAGCGAGGAGGGAGGAGCGAGGAGGAAGGAGAGAGGAGGAAGGGAGGAGGAGAAGAAGGAGGAGGAGGAGGAGGCAGAGGAGGCCGGGACAGACCCAAAAAGTAAGAACCCCACACAATGATGTGGGGAACAAACCCTAAACCGTATACCTCGCCAGCATCGTCCGAGTCGCGAGAGTAAGCCTGCGGCGATAGATCCAAGAACTCTAAAACCAGGTGACGGCTTTGGAGGCTGGTCGGCTTACAGTTGTTTGCTTGCCGTCCAGAGCTCCTTGACTACGGGTTTCTGATCTTGACTCGTTCCTTTTCGAAAAAGACACCCGTCTTGAGATTCAGGTTTTGGGATATACACCCGTGAGACTGGAGGACATCGTGTGAAGTTTTGTCGTTACGGGCTTTCTGTCTCAAGATGTTTCAAGGCTAGCTTTCTCTGGTCGTCAGCGGTTGAGGATTCGGGTGTGCAGGGGATTGATGTCCGTCGACGCCACGGTGGCGCTTTGGAATGGCTCTGCGTAGTAGGCCTATCGTCCTCTGCAGGTACATGCCCACTTTGGACGGTCGTGGCTGTGCGATATGCATACTTACAAAATATCAAATACAGCTGTGGCAGTTGTACCGCGTGGTCTGCCTTCGGTTATTGGCGGAGCGTTTGGGGGGAGTGAATGGGGCCTTGGCTGCCACCTGGAAGCCTCCCCAGCGACCGCCCGTGAGCCCGCAGACCCTGTGCTTTGAAATGCCGGATGCTCGTGCAGGAGGGGCGACAGCAGCCTACTGCCAGCATAGGCGGGAACTCTGAAAGCTTGAGATCCGTTTGTACATAATAACGCTCTCGTGCATTATAGTAGGAAATTGAAATGTCGTACATCATCCAAACCGATACTTGCCAGAACTGATAGAAGCTTTCTTTTGCGGCGGACTTGACCGGTTATTTGGCACGACTAGTCCTTCAAACTGGTAAAGTTTCGGCTTGCATCCTAGATTGTGTCCTGGTGTTGTAGTCGTTTTAAGTTTGCCCGCTTGGTTCATGTTGCAAGAGTTCCAAAGCTGCCCTGTCGCCTTGCTAGTGATTCTATCGAGCGCCTTTGAGAATCCTTCTTGCAACGGTAGGGTGTCTTATAGACAAGCTTACAATCTGTGACTCTGTAGCTTTAGGACAACCCTCAAGTAAAACAGGTCTTGGAGCTGGGTTATTGTTCGTACACGTCAGTTTAGGGTTTAGTCAGGCCCACAGGTCATCCCAAAAGTTACCGAAGTACAGTACACATGTTTGCATTCGTAGACAACTGATTTGCGGGTGTACAGAAATCGAAACAAATGTTGCATTAGAACATGCCTCTCGTGGCAACCTGGGCAACCTGCCGCAATCAGTCATAATCTCATCCATGAGCATGCTTAGTTGCGTGTTGGCGGTGTTGCTTGACACTTTGAAGTAACTGCGCCCAGCTGTTACACGCTTCTTCTTTTAACAACCACTTGGAAGGGCGCGCATGTTGAAACCCTTCGGCTGGAGGAACCGTCAGCTGGAGCTGCGCCCACGCTGCTTGAATCCTGGTCTGCTTGTGGGGTACTGGTGGTGTCGTGCTGGGACTGCTGTTGCTCAAAGGATTACCATCCCCCCCAACTCCGAACATCTGCTGTGTTCCCGATAGCACGGAATTGGAAAGGAGCAGAAAGAAGAGGGCCGTCCGTCTATATCTATCTATCTATCTATCTATCTATCTATATATGTAGCTACGCAGTACCGTACACGTGCATGAATTATGCATTGCCACTCCAAGCACTCAAGCCCAAGGGAAAACATCTAGGGGCCTTCATAATTAGAATAGGGTTCTGGGGTATACTATTCTACAATTACATATATATATATATAATAATAAAAATAAGAATAATAATAATAGTAATAATAATAATCGTAATAATAATCATCATAATAATCACAATAATAATAATCATAGTAATCATAATAATAATAATAATAGTTATAATAAGGAGCCTTCAAAATAATGTAGGTAACTCTTAAGGCCTTAAGGCCCCTGCGTGAACCCTTCCAGGTCGACCCTCGAGCTGCGACGCTTTGTGCCTACGCGGCAGGCCAGGCCCAGGAGCACGAAGACGTGAGAGCAGAGTTCCGGCTTTTTCAGGGGTTCAGATATTTAGGGTTTAGGGAGGTTTTTCAGGGGTTTAGTAAAAAGGGAGGTTGTAGGTGATACTGGCATACACTGCAAGTCCGTGCTGAAAAGAAAAGGGAGGTTGTAGGTTCCGAGCCCTGGAGGGGCTGAAGTAGCTGCGGGGTTCAGGACTAGCACACGATTGATGTTCCAGGCTTGTGGTAGGGTGTCTGAGGACAGCACCAAAGGTGTAAGCAGCAATGATCTCTATTTGTTTTGTGCGATGACCCGACTCCGCGTGTCCTAACCCGAAGCCCTTGGCCCCTAGCTCTAAGCCCCTTGTCGCAGGCTTTCTGGCTATCGTAGCCGAAGGCCACGAAGCTTGTCGCCAAGTGCTCGGCTCAGAAGAAGGGACTTTGCAAAAGAGTAGATATGGCCAGCGATGGGGTTTGCATGGTGTACATGACAAGAAACTATGTGGCATCGACATGACTGTCTCTTGATCCATGTGCAGATAACGAGGAGCTCGTTCGAACCCAAGGAGGCTCATCTGTTAGCTGATTGCACAAGGAGCATACTACATGTATGTACACAGACACTTACACGTACATTATGCATGCGTGCCTACACGCATATTACACACACATAACATACACACACATATATATATATATATATATATATATGTGTATGTGTAGGTTGGTCGGTCGGTCGGTCGGTAGGCAGGTGGTAGATAGGTATGTAGGTAGGTATGTACGTATGCATATGATGCTTTGAGCCCTTCGTTGGGTCAGAGCTTCGTCAGACCGAGGCCTTGCATGGAGCTGGTGGCATCAGTCTGCTAATGCGTACTTTGGACCTGTGCCACCCCCCGCTTTCCAGCTGTTTCCAGCTGTGCGATGCCAACTGTGCTTTTGGATTGAACACAACTATGTGTCCTGATCGCCATCACGAGCGCTGCATGGTCGATGTTTTCTAGGAGATGGTACTTTTCAATGTGCCCGTTGCTACTTCTTGTCTTGCTGTCCACTGCAGCCGTTTTCCAGTGGCCTTCGAGGCCAGGCTTGTGCTGAATGCTGTCACAGGGAAGGTTGAGATATGAGGAGTTGAGATGTCCTAGTCACTAGTCACTTGTAGCTGCCGGAATGCGGGTGAAGTAGGCCGGCGTAGATTCCCCAACACTTTGAGCTTGCAGCGCCATGTTCGTATCATGCGAGAAGCTACGGACGGTTCCGAAGCGGCACAAGTCCCACCGTCCGGAGACAACGCCGACGGCAACGCTCACGGTAACACCGACACTGTTGCGGCCACAGCCTCAGCAACGGAGGGCAACAGCTTTGGGCCTCGAGTTGATGGCAGCGAAGAAAGGCCGCACGGCCGCTTGCAGCAGGCATGGGGCCGCGCCGCGGCGCCCTTGGCAGGCGCAGCCAGTGGCGCGCTTGGCGGAGCCCTTGGCGTAGCAGCGGTTGCCACTGGTGGAGCCCTGGGTGCCCTTGCTGCTGTGGCCTTGGCCGGAACGTTGGTGTCCACCGCTGTCAAAGCACAGGCAGCACAAGACCAACAGCTGCCGACTGAGCAGTCGCAGGTTGAGACTCAAAGTCAAGAAGCCGTTGGCACTGAAGATCTGGCGGAATCTTCAGAATCGCGACAGCCGCGACACGCAGAAAACCATCCAGATGACAATGGGAGCCCGCTACCACCTCCGGAGGAGTGCCCGGGATATGTTTCGTAAAACAGGACTCCAGTCATGTGGAGTCCTTTGATTACTAGGAAGCCGACAGTAGTTAGAAAAGGTAATGGTAGTAGTAACTACTTAGTAGTAATACTAGTAGCCGCAATAAGTAATAGCAGTGCAAGGCCATCAGTGGTTGTATTGACAGACCCCACCACGTGCAGGAGGAGGACACGGAGTCTACAGGGTCGGAGGTGGTGTTGCGGCCCCAGAATGAGAGTTATGCTTCCTTAAGGGCCAAATTCAATGACCCCTAAAGAGCAAGGGCCGTATACAACTATACAATGAATCCCTATATGGTTTTTGAACCCTAAACCCTTTTAGGGATCTTTTCGTCCTTAAGGTTCTCAACCTCCCGACAGCGTCAGATTGAACTTCCAAGCCGCGTAAGTGAATCACGGATTCGGAGGAATCTTAGAACAAGATTACCAAACGAGCCTTTGCAACCCACTTCCGACAGTGCTATACAGTGTTACTCGGCTATGATACTTGTTGCTCCATCCTTGGATCGTTCAGGTCGAGACAGGCTGCTGCTGACCTTCTGGAGGTTGCGGAGCCTGAAGCCCAGGCAAGGCATCCTTAGAGATTCAATCCGTCATGCCGGAAGTCATGCCACGTCCAACACAGCAGAGCTGTGCAGACTGATGTGAAGGACACTAAAACTCAAGGCTCACAACTTTCAACGCATGCTTTCACAGAAAATCATAGACGCAGTGCGTGCACTCCGTCGAACGCGAGTCCCATCATTGAGTTCAGCCCAAAAGAAGGAAATTCGACAACCTGATTCTCAAGTCATCAGCTCCTGAAGAACACTGACTCCAGGACGCTGACACTGATTACGCCCAGCTTCTTCTGGCTGGCTCCGAGCTGGTGGGGAGCGGTTGATGAACAGGATATGTATGCCAGCATAGTAGCATCCGCCACCTTATGCAGCTGCGGTAATTTTTGGAGTGATGGAGGTGGTGCTACTGCCACACATGATGGTCATTGCGTGAGCATGTTTGTGATCATGGTGGCGGCGGTGATGATGAGGACACTGAGGGAGGAGGAGGAGGAGGACGAGGAGGAGGAAGTGAAGAGGGAGGACGGGAGGCCAGTGACAACGATAACTACTAGGGCAGTGACGGCAACAACCAGGGTTGTTGTTGAGGGTGATGGTAGTGGTGATGGTCGATGTCTTGACGATGATGACGATGATGAGCATCAGGTGGTGGGCGACGGCGGCGGTGGTGCTGGTGGTGGTGCGTTTGCTGCTAGCACTGAGAATAGGGATGATACGGGGTAATGATTCTCGAACTGTGTGCATGACGTTCAGAAACACATGCCACAACAAAGCAAGCTTTCCGGTAGCACTAGTCTGACATGATGTAAACATGTAATGTGGCTTCCGATGTATTTTCGGTCGTTCAGTCGTCGAGCCTAAGCTGACCTGAGCCTGTCACCCTGCAGCAGTCCCGTAAGCTTGGCTCAGCCGCCAGTTGCCGCTGGTCCGACTGCTGCATCGTTTGCACGTACCCTGGTTGCGCACGGCTTGGGTGCACATGCAGGGCAAGTGACGAGTGGCAGCAGCATCTTACACCCAGACTCCTCGGTTGGATAGAGTATAGTACATCGAGAAGTCCGCACACACTTGGCGATGTTTTGTTTAGCGTGGTCGAGATCATAAACCACATGAACCAGCCACCCATAGAGCCAGCACAGAGCCCAAGTCCAAACCAGAAATTAAGCCCCAGTCCCGATCCTAGTGGCCCACAGCCTTCAACCCTATATAAACCCTGATAGTTAGACATGTTGAGTCTCAAGTGCCATCTGCTAAGGCCAAGGATCCAAGGCAGATAGAGCAGCTGTGCCACGAGGAGGTCTGGTTAGAGAGTTTAGTGAGTTTAGTGGTTGAGGGTTCGAATCTTACTTAGTTCCCCAATACCCAACCTTTAAACTTTTTGGGTTCTTATAATTTAGTAGTAATCTGAAAGTTTAACCTTTTAGTTCCCTGGCTTATTGGGGAAGTAAGCTTAGGGCATATGAAGGGCTTTAAGGGTTTAGTGGTTTCGCGGCTTAAGGGCTTACGGGTTTGTGGGTTTAGTCAGGCTTTCTGGGTTTTAAAGGGCTTGGGGAGTGAGCTCTGGTGCACAGACTACACAGCAGCTCGATGACTCAAGTCCATTCCGAAGAGCCGACAGGCGTCACAAAACGGAAGTTATTTTTTCTCTTCACCTCTTGGCACCAAAGTAGGCCTAGCAGAAAAACGGAAGTTATCTCCAAGAGGTAAGTTTGTTACCTGAGGCAGTTTGATGTTTGTAGTTAGTTGGCAGATACGTGCTGGGTTGTGATGGCTGTAGCAGATCCACGCAAACTTGGTCAGCATGTGCAGGTGGGTTCATTAAGCAGCTGCTGCATAAGCTTTACTGTACCAGTTTTTTTGCGAGGACTCCGGCTTTGCTGCATAGCAGTTCCTTCGGACCTTTGGTGGGGAGTTTGAGTCCAAATACCGCTCTCTCAATCCTCAAGCTCGACTTTGTTGCCTTGGAAGTGCTTCCATGCCAAATCTGTTTATCAGTTCCCGGGAAGCTGCAGTTATGCTCCCAATTTAACTCTGTGCTTTCCGGACTTTGCCCGGCAACACGAAAGCAACGGTAGCGGTGCAAGCTGCAATGGTTGGATATCTTCAAGTCGACAGTGGACCAAGCCTGACTGTCGGAAAGCACCGAGCAAATGGACAAGCCTCCTGGGCTCCCTTTACGGGCTCCTTTCAGGGTTCTATAGTAGGGTCCCTTCAATAAAGTAAGGTTCCTTTAAGGCTTCCGTTAAATGCACAAGATGGCCCAATACTCCGTAAGCAGAGACTACGCCTTCAATTACAAGGGGCTTCGTATTATGTTCCAAGCCATATTCCTAAATTAAAGGGTATTGGGCTTCCTGGGGACACCTCAACAGCAGCTGGGACAGGGCCTGGTTCGCCTGAGCGCAGACGGCGAGGTCCTCCCTGACAGAGACGCCAAAGCCAAAGCGTGTCATTGTGTTTTTCAAAGCTTCAGTTGTCTAGGGCTTCGTTCCAGTTTGATGTAAGCATGTGGTTTAATTGAAAAGGTTATTAGTTCCTTGTTCAAGATGTAAGCTTCCGTGCACTGTCTTTGATCATGATGTGTCTAGTGTAAGTGTGGGGATATATGCAAAGGCGATCTCAACCTGTGTTAAACATAATGCTCGACCTTCAGGCCTAGAACTGCCACATTTCTGCTGAATTTTTCAATTCGCTTATGCCAAGCAAGATGCAGAGCACTGGGTGCGACTCAAATTTAATCACGGAAGGCTTTCAGCGGCTTCAGCCGAAAACTCGGCAAAAGCGCTATCGCAAACTTCCAAATCCAACCTTCCTGCTGCGGCATGTATTTTGCCATCGCAAACTGGTCCAGTGGTCCGACCGTGGTCCTTGTGACTATGAAGCGCTTAGTCTGGAACATATAGTTGCCACACGCGCAATTCCACCTTCTAGCTCCGAATCCTCAACTTTTTTTGCGATACGCAAAACCTCCCGTAAACCCGAAAGCCCAAACCCTCAAACGCTAATCTAGGTCCTCTATCTCCTCCTCATAGTCGTCTCTATGGTCCTAAACCCGTAAACCCTGCATTGCGCCAGCACATCCCGGGTTTCTTCCAACCTGGCAGTGACACGGAGGCTGCCAAGGCCAGGCGAAAGTTAAAAGAGAGGGCTTGGGCAACCCCAGAGACTCCAAAATTCCCTATGTTAGGGTCTCTTCGCATTGCGGATTCAGGCTATGATTGGAGAATTTATGTAGAACTTGTTCAGAATCACTGCTATAATTTAAGCAGTCCTCCCATTTTTCAAGAGAGGCTTCTAGAAGGCAGGTCACCGTGCCTTGCTACGGAATCCTGCCACAATTTGCCACGTATTACACGAATGAAAAGCATTCAGTTGTACCCATGACAGGTACAAGACTTCAATCATATTGCCACAGTATGTACTTGTGTACATACATCTGACCGTTCATACATACATACATACATACATACATACATACATACATACATGCATACATGCATACATATATACATACATATACAGCAGGACAGAAACAACGACAGATAAATAGATGGATGGATGGATGGATGAATGGCTAGATGGATGAATAGATAGAGGTAGGTAGGTAGGTAGGTAGGTAGGTAGGTAGGTAGGTAGGTAGGTAGGTCGGTAGGTAGGTCGGTCGGTCGGTCGGTCGGTCGGTCGGTCGGTCGTTCGGTCGTTCGGTCGTTCGGTCGTTCGGTCGTTCGGTCGTTCGGTCGTTCGGTCGTTCGGTCGGTCGGTCGGTAGGTAGGGAGCTAGGGAGCTAGGGAGCTAGGGAGCTAGGGAGCTAGGGAGCTAGGGAGGTAGGGAGGTAGGGAGGTAGGTAGGTAGGTAGGTAGGTAGGTAGGTAGGTAGGTAGGTAGGTACTTTGCATAATATAAACTCATGCACATGTCCGCACGGAGATGCCGTCAGCAGTTCAGGTCTTCCTGCTCGGGAGCGAGGCGGATGCGCTGCAGCGCCCCGAGGTCAGGGGACCCACCGAAAGGTTTCTAATACAGTAGTAGTAGTAGTAGTAGTAGTAGTAGTAGTAGTAACATTAGTCATCGTAGCAAAACAGTAGCAATAGTGCTAATCATAACGGTCATAACAGTGACAGGGATAATTATGATGGTCATGCTAGTAGTAAGTATACTACATAAGGCTCGGGATATTTACGGATGTTATCCCCTTACGGTCTTGTGGTTCTGTATTATCATACCTGGTAGTAGACCCCAAAATCCTCTTACTTCAAGGCCGCTATATTGAAGCTGTCCCTTTCCGAGGTGTCGGGTTTGGTTCAAGGAGACAGGAGGAGGAGGAGGTCATTTTGACATGTGGGGTTTTTGGGGGCGGTGGGGGGAGCGACCCTTTCATGATGTTATGTATTGTGCATATATATATATATATATATATGTTGAAGGGTAGAGGTTTGGCAGTCATAGCAAGTGTTTGGGCGGTCGTGTCTCCTTCCGGTTGTCCAAAGTACCCTGTAAACTTGAGCTACAACTGGGGCTTCAAGGGTTTATAGAGTTTGACGGTGCAAGGCATTCCGGTCTGGAGTGTCGGGGTTTCGCATTAGAGGTTTTGATTACTGGGTTTGGTCTGCACCGGGGCTACCGGACGCAGTCACCAGCTAGATTAACCAGCGTTGGAAACTATCAAAAATCAAACCCCGTAAACCCTCAAATCTTACGACCGACGCACTAAACCTTTAAGCTCCACATCCACGATATACTGCTGAACCCGGCCGGGCTTGAACCGGGAGGATCTATAATGCAGATTTTTTAACTTGGGACCTTGCACTACCGAAGGGAAGGGTTGAGGGTGTAGGACCTGTGACTGTTCCCGGGCGAGAGAAGCCCGTCGCAAAAGGGACCTGTGACGTTGCATGCCAGCTGCAAAAAGGAACCTCTATCACCTCTACCTATCTATCACATCTATCTATCTATCTATCTATCATATCTATCATATCTATCATATCTATTTATCTATCTATCTATCTATCTAGCTAGCTAGCTAGCTATCTATCTATCTATCTATCCATCTATCTATCTATCTATCTATCTATCTATCTCTATCTCTATCTCTATCTCTATCTCTATCTCTATCTCTATCTATATCTGTATTTATATCTATATCTCTATCTCTATCTCTATCTTTATCTCTATCTCTATCTCTATCTCTATCTCTATCTCTATCTCTATCTCTATCTCTATCTATCTATCTATCTATCTATCTATCTATCTATCTATCTACTTCATGGGGTCCAAGGGTAAGGGTTCGAAGGTTAGAGAAGATCAGGGTTACTGGCATGCTACTGCTTGAAACCCAAGCAACTCAAAGTGTCCCAACTTGTGAATCTGGAGTGCAACTCTTCATTTAAACTATATGTAGATGTATTTATTATTGGAGATCTTCTTCTGATGGTTTTTATTATCATCCTCGTTATCATTGCCATGTGGTCTGCGTTTCGCAGGCATTTCTCGAATGCTGGATGCAGACCAATGCTCGCATCCGCTTGGCTGCCCTGGACCCTCGGGCTGTGTTCAGGGTGTCGTATTTCGGCATCATTTCCAAGGCTACTGGGATCGTGCAGGCGCATGGTGCGTAGGTTTGGCGTTCTGGGCCTTGGGGTCTTGTATCCCAGAGCCGAATGCACCAGCCATGCTTGTTGCCGACAGCAGGACAGCTCCATCGCTGAAGAGGCTACAGGCGGGAGCACAGTTGCTGTCACCTCAGGAAGATGAGAGTCGAGGCCTTGCTGGTGGTGTTTGGAGGAATTTCCTGCAGAAGATCTGAACAAATCTTCGCCGTGTCATGTTGATGCGCTTTCAAGATGTAACGCCTGGCCTCATTGCATTCCTCGGCCAGGCCATGTACATGAGGGCTTCCAAGCGGCTTGGCTCGGAGTGGCCCCGGCGCTGCGGCGGCTCAATGACAGCCGCAAGGCTGTGGCTATTGCCTGACTGTTCTCATTGACGACGAAGAAGAAGATTATAATAGTCATGACGGTGCTGGTGATCATGGTCATGTGCAAGATCAGAGGATAGCAACCAGGAGGAGGAACAGGCCGGAAGGAGCGAAGGGGCGGCGCTGGCAGTGGCGGTGGGGGTGACGTTGGTGGTGGCGGCGGGGTCGCGGTCCTTCAAGTTGAAGACTGTGAGGGTGATGTTGTTGACGATGATGATGATGATGAGGCCCTTGACGCTGTTGTGAGCGTTAGTCTTCCTAAACCTGGGAGGAGGAGGGAGAGGAGGAGCCGTGGTAGATAGTAGTAGCTCTCTGTGAGTCGTGGCCGTAGTCGTGTCGTCGCAGCGGGTAGCAGTAGCCGCAGGAGTTGGCAGTCAGTACCAGCGCATTAGCCGTCGTACGAGTGGTGGCGCGAAGCTGGAACTTTGAGAACTGCGGACCCTAGGTCCCGAGGTGGGTTAAGGCTGCTGGTAAAACCCTTTCAACACAATATTACAGTATCCATAAAATCCATAAGCCGCTTATCAAGCACGAAACCTATTGGTCTGAAACACCCCTGAGGTGGTCCTTGTCGGCTACTCCTTAGGAGGTGCCCTGGCCACCCTCGGCGCCCTTGACCTGTGCTGCAAAGGCTTCAGGCAGGTCGCCCCTCGCTTTGCCAACTGGAAGTTCTGGGGCTTACAAGGCTTAACCCCAACGCCCCTTGTTTGGGGGCCGTTTGGGGTATTTGAAGGTTTTTGGCTGAGTCTGATTTTCGCGATACTTGAACACCAGAATCCATTTAAACTTGATTCAACCAATGGGTTGAGACGGGCGCAGTTTTGCTACCGATGCCGCTGGTACTGCTGCGCATGCCTAGTTGCTTGGGTGTTCCAGTGTTCCTTCAAGATTTCCTGGAGGCGCGAGAACCCAACACCCTAAATCCTTGCACCCCAACCTGCACTCCCCACTCTCGAAAGTATACAGAACACCAAAAAATCGCAATATGGCTCGAATCATGAGTTCCTTCGTATAAGAGGGCCCCCCTCTCCAAAAAAGGGGGGAACCCTTATGAATTGTGCACCAAAATCTGCAGAGCCCCAAGCCCGTGCCAAGGAGCTGATAACATTTGGAAGCCCAAGAGTCGGCAATGACACCTGGCAGCCGAAAAGTCTTCTGCTCTCAAGTTTGAAGGGCCGATGTTTCGCGGGGTTAAGGGTTTATGTAGGGCTTTAGGGGTTCCGGGCGAGAGAAGCCGGCTGCAAAAGGGC